GAATGTTATTAAAGAAATCTTAACCTTTTAAAATTTTTAAAGCTTCAATTTAAATTTAATAGCTTATGTTTTTACTAAAATTTTATTAATTAATAAAAACTAATTAACCTATTATTTAGCTAATCTAAGTTAAAATTTTAAATTAAATTTAAATAAATTAAAATAGGACAAGAAATTTAAATAGCACAAGGGCATTGAAGTAATTGTATTCTGTGTTTTCCCTGTCCAAATTTATATTTATCGAATCCATTATTTTCTTTGTTCAATCATATTTACTAATGTTCTTTTCTGTCCTGTCTTGTTCTATAGATACACCAGCTTGACCCACAAATGTAACAACATATATACTGAATTTTTTGGAGTTGAATGGTTAAAGAAATATCTCTTTTAAAGATGTGACTTTTGAATGGAGTATACAAATTCCGGATACATGATTCAGCTTGTATATATGAGACTGATACCCAGTCACATATATATATATATTTTTTGAAATAAAAACATGTGAATTACGTATATGACACCATTGGGGGTGTTGCCCCTATACAAAATTATTCATAAATTAGTTAGTGCATCAAAAACCCACCCAAAATCATCTCACCCATACACATCACTTATATTTTTTAGATCACATGTTTTTGTGGAAGAAACAATTTGTATTTTTGTTGAGATTCTGGACAACATTGTCATAGTTTTCCATAGATTCAGTAGGAGTAATAATTCTAAAGTTGGGAAAAAAGCATGGAATTGCAAGAAGCCAAGAACCAAACCCCAAATAGTTGCATCTTTTGCATGGAGTTTCTGGCGGTCATTTAGTGATTTGGAATACTTGGGTAGCAGCATTTGTAGGCTCTGTTTCTTTGTGAGAAAAAATAATTTACTGAAAGGACGCCAAGGGGATGCCACTTGAGTACCAAATATTCTATATATTTACAGTTCTCTCAGGCTTAGTTGCAAATGATCCACAATATCTGCCCCATCTTGAATGTTTGGCCCCTAAACAAAGTATTTAAGAATCCTCCACCAATGGTGTTTGATGTTACCAAAGGACGAGGACGAAATTTCAAAAGTTCTCCTATTCTTTGCTTCTAAATGACCCATAAAATGGACAAAGGAACAAAGGACATGTCTTCGTTTTGGACTAGTACGATACCTTCCCCAACGTTCCTCTGACCAAGCAACACGTCAGCCGGGAGAGATTGAGAGAGCAAGAGCTGAATCCTAAAAACAATCTAGTTTAGGAACATGAAAGGGACGGGATTCTCACCCTTCTAGACATTAAAAAAGAACATTTCCTGCAATTCTCCCACTTCTTATCAGGTTATCCAAAGTAAGGATCCTACCCCTAGCTCCTTCCTGCTCAAGAAGAATGATAGGAGGCTATCCCTCCACACTTTTTCCAAAGAATAAACAATCCAAAATATGGTCAGAAAACTTATGGTGTTAGACTTCCAAAGAAATTAGCCATTTTTAC